AACGTTCCGTCCTGTCTGAGCCTGCTCGTTTGATCATTTACATTATGAATCGGGTGCGTTTACTCATGAAGGTAACCACCATGGTCTGAGTCAGAGTCAAAGTATTGGTGATGAGCCACAGCTAAAGGAATGCATCTGTGGGCTTAGAAAATGTTTAGATTTTTAATTTTCTAATTTTCTTTCTCAAATAAACTAAGGTATATGTAATGAAAATGTATATTTCTTTTTTTTTAACCCTTCAACATCGTTGATTCATATTTGATACACCAATTTCTGAGACTTATTGCACCTTCATATAGTCAAAAAGTTTTTAAAAACAACCCTGGAATAAAGAAAATATCATTTTTTGTGTTAATTTGTACTAATAATGTACAAAAAATACTTATTTGATCAAAAAACACACAAGAAAGTTACAATGTTTTTAAAAAAAAACATTTTGTTAAAGAAACAAAGAATTTAGATAATAAACAGTTAATATTTGTATCCATTTTTTTCTTGGATAAAGCTTTATAGAGTTAAGTAACCTTTCGAATTGAATGCATCATCTTTCATCAACATTTTGAACATGATCTCTTTCCTACCAGAGCTAAATAAGTTCATTTTCATGAAATCAAATCTACCTTATGCAAAGAGTCTAATCACTGACTAACAAACATTCTGAACAATGAGATTGTCTCTGGCTCTAAGAATATGATGAAAGAGAATGTATATGTATTTTTCCACCTCCCAGTCTATATGTGGGATGTAAGACCGCAAACCTCTGTGTGAGGCCTACAACTATACAACACACACAAAAGGTTTTTTTTTGGTCAGGTTGAAGAGGCCACAAAAGGGCCGTCAGAAGTCCACAAAAATGCCAAACCATCATAAAACAAGAAAAGGGGTGTTGGGTTGGACTCCAACATCGTGAACTGAGGTATGTCGGCCCCCCGGGCCAGTCCAGGATAGTTTTGGGCCACAAAAGGTCTGGGACAAAAGTTAATGATGTCTTCTTGTCCTTATTGGCTGCCTTAAAACCATCAGATATGCTATGCCTTAAGTTAATTAACGCTTAATGATAAGGCAAGAATACTTTTTTGACTAATGGACTACTTTGGGGGGAGGGTTCTGAATCATGATCGTAACTTTTTGCTTGTTTTCCAATTTTCCAACAGGAAAGAGAATTTAGCAGAGACAGTTTCTTTCTTCTTGCTTCTCGAAAGTGTATCTGGACAGTTAAATTACCGTATTTAGCTCTACACTTTTATAAGTTGGGGAAAATTGATAGAGGGACAGATTGAACAATGACTGCTTCGGTCAGTAAATTCTCCACAATTTTGACTCCCACCACTTATTTCAAGCCTCTGTTGACTTATGTACCGGCTCAATAGGCAGACAATTGCTCCATTGAGAGTCTTTTTAGGACACAAAACGGATGTTACTATGGGATGATGACTATTCTTTATCACAGTCTCATCATAAATCGTGAAAAAGCCATGAAAGGAAACTCATTGGGTTCATATTAATGTAATGAAACTAGTATTTTTTGCAATTTTACAGTGATATTCTTTTTTTTTTCCAGTGAGATGTTTTTCAGAGCTTGTACTAGGTTAGTGTTTTCCAGAGATTAAATGATAAGGCTTTTTTAAGTTGGTCCATTTAAAGGAAAAACCATGATGCTTCAACCCAATCAGGTTGCTTTTAGACAAACTAAACAGTGAGGGAAAACAGAAAAGTTAAGTGCAAAATTTGAATTGAATTAAATTCAGTTTGATTCGGAATAAAGTGTATAATTAATTTGGGTCAGATGGGAGGCAAAATTGAGTTTCTTCTATGACAGTCATGTGAATAACAGTTATTGTTAGTCCACCCCGGTCCTCTGGGTGGACTAACATCATGGCTGCATTACAGAATATTTAGGATTTAATTTTTTCAGTATTTATTTGTAGAAGCCTCCATCAGCCTTAACCCCGAGTCGAGTCAAATTTGGAGTTTTAATTGTCTAAATTCATCACCTAGCTTAAAAGGTAAGCAGTCTCAAGGTGTAATTGTGCAGACATTAGTTCCTTGATCATGCAAAGTGGGCAAAATGGTCCACAAAGACAGTATGAACCCCCCCCCCTCACCAGCTTACTGTAAAAGTTACTGTTCATAGCATTGTAGTGCATCATTGTAAATGACACTGACAGCTTTTATAACACTAATTATGACAGCAGGAGGGGAAATAATTTGTCTTTGGGAATGCCTTACTCCCCGACATGCGTTCATTAATGCATTGTTGGCTTTGATGTCGAGTGAAAACCCAACGGCAAAATCGGCTTAATTTGAATTTGTTATTGTCGCAAAATGAAAATGGCATGTCGTGTTCCTTTGTGATGAGTTGGAAATACATATTTGATCTTTTATGCCACAGCCTTTAACCAGTTTTGTTGTTGTTGTTGTTGTCTTTGACTTTGTCATTTAGTGAAGTTCTTGTGTTTACCGGTAATGTCGCCAGGTTTTTTTTTTCTTTTCATGTAATTGGTTGCATAACTGCTTACGGGTGGCTTGTGTTTGTTAGATAAAGCTATTTTTAACAGAGCACATAACAATGAAAATACCAGTCTCGGATATCAGTGTATGTTACAGAGACAGACAGGTACACAACTTTTGTGTTCAGTAAAGCACTTTCTTGGATTGATGACGTGTTTACATGAGGCTAAGCATGCTTTTAAAAAATTGCACTCTGTTTCAGTGGTATAATTCATCACAAAAAGTCGTTTCTTTTTGTTTGTTGTCGTCTGTCAGCCTGCTCTATCTCCACCCCCCCAACATGTTGCACACTGAAGTGCACCAAAACGCTTCTGTTTCTTCAACTCTTGTTTTGGTGGAGTTATCCTTTCGTAACTTTCGGTAAAATTTTTCCAGTTTAAAAAAAAAAAGATAAACCAACAACGAAAACAAAACAAAGCAGACTTTTTTTTTATTTAAAGTAGTTAATACAGCCTGGTATCTTATTGATTACTGGATAGTCAGCCAATTTGTCATGTAGAGAAAAAGAAGGCATTTTTGTATTATAGGTTCTATATCAAGTCGATTAATTAAATGCTGACAATACTAATAACTCTGTCTTACTGATTATTGATTTTGACATATTATGTCCTACTTGGCTTCACATCTGTTTTTGGAAGAAGAAAAAAAAAGGCTACAAATGATAAAAGCACTCAATAACTGGTTGAATTGGAGTGAACAAGGGTAAAGCAGCCTGTCTGAGGGAATGCTGTGAAGGAATGTTGCCTGGTGGAATTCTTTGCATGTAGTTATGAAGAAAAAATGCTTTAGCCGCTAACAAAGGGACTAACTACATGATTCTAGTTAGTCAAGCAGTTAAGTTGTAAATGTTGAAAATGAGAGGTGGCCCTCAGAATTATGCTTAGGTATGTGTCAGGAGATGTTCTGAAATTACTTCAGGAAACATTTTAGACTGTTTCCCCAAATAGATGGTTAAATATACTAGACACAAGAGTGTGTACTTTCTGCTGACCGCTTGCTCCTCACTATTGTGGTACATACGTAGTGTCATTTGCTATTTTCAAGGTGTTATGAAGAATAAAAAGGTTTACCACTGGATTGTTAAAACCCAATATCTTCTGTGGACTCTTGACACCTGTTTTGAATGCGTTTTCATTGCATTTCCAATTAGACAGAACATTTTTTTGCTTTTTTCAGTGTCCATGTGTGAAAAAGTATCCATATCTAATCCTTTACAAGAAAAATAAGGAATAATCAAAAAGGAATCCCTACATATATTGGACTGTTGATTCAATAAAGACTCACCCAACAAGCTATTCTGCTTGATTGTTTTTGTAGTACTTTGATTGTCTTTCCGCGGAAAGAATCTTGATTTCCCAATAAGTTCTAAATAACTATTCAACATAATTCAAATTTTAGTCTTTTTGGATGGCCAAAGATTGTAAACGTCTTCAATCATTTTGATCTATGTAAGTACATTTATATGTTAAATTCCACAAATTAGTACTATCCCTCAACTTAAATCCTTTTGCGTGTTAGCTTTTTCCGGTAGTGATTTCGACACAAAATGCTTTTTTTTTTTTACTATTACAATATCAGGAGAGAATCATGCTTAGAAAATAAGTCTCTGGAGCAAAAGGTTACTTCATTGTGCCTCGGTGCAAACATCATGGGAGCTTGCTAATTATCCACAGCTTCATTAAAAGAATCAGGGTGGTGAAATAAGTGTCTCTGTGCTCAAATAAGAAAACAGTCAGGTGCAGAGAACAGAATGTAATCTCTGATTTAGTCAGACCTACAGTATAAACAAACACTCTCAAATGGCCAGCAGGAAAAAATTCTTGAATGACACGATACAGGTTTCGGTTTTGCTGTTGTCTTTTAAGTGGCCTAAACGGTCTTTGACTTGCCCACTTCAGAGTATTTCTCCTGAAAGCAAAGTATGCCGTACAAGTTGCAACATGTTTGTCCTCATAACAAATGTGTTTTTTGGCAAAGACTAGCCGACATACAAAACTGCCTGTGTTTACACTGCGGTCACAGAGTAGAAATGAAAACTGTTAATACAGACAGACAGTTTGAACGGTATCTTGGCACATTTTTAATAAATGTATCTCTTTTTTATTTATCCGCCTGTCGAAGGACTTATTCCACCTAATTTTGGCAATGTTGAAGAACTCTTCAAAGACTGATATGCACCAATGGCTGTTTCCCTAAGACCGTTGCTGATGTCTTTCCTCCTTGGCGTTCTGTTAGCATACACCTGAATGCTACAAAACCGGAAAACTGATCAAACTTTTGCATCTATAGAGGCCCTCGCACTTGCTACTGGTCAGCTAATTGAATGTATTGAGATATCAGGGCCTGTCTGCGACTTCACATTTAAATGTAAAACTTTATTGTCATGTTTGAGAGATTTAGGATTCAAATCAAGAGGGTAAATGTGCTTAATTTGCTGTATAAACCAACGGTGTTGCATCTTTTAACAGCGTCTCTCTTTGTGTTTGCAGATCTTACAGGTGAATCTAGTTATGTCCATCCTGCTTTATGTGATGGTCCTTGTGTACCTCTATGGTATCCAAGCAACCAACATGAACAGCAGCAGCCACCAGGGCCAGCATCAGCCGAGTCCCGACCCCTTAAACTCGCTCATAATCCAGCTGCTCCAGGCCGACCTGACCAGAGGGAAGACCAGGGCCAATCAGAGCCAGCAGGGGAAGGACAGGGACGCGCTTCCGCCCGTCCTTAGCGCGGAACTTCCCCTAGAGGAGCATTGGGGCGGACAAGGCGATAGCGCGATAGACCAGCAAGGGATGCTGTTGAACTCGGACCTCCTCAGGAAGCACAAGCGATACAACTCGCCCCGGGTGCTGCTGAGCGAGCGCCCCCCGCTGCAGCCGCCGCCGCTCTACCTGGCGGACGACTTCGTGAGCGGCGGGCCGGACGGGGCGGGGGGCAACAAGACGCGCAAGAAGCGGTACGCCGAGCACAGGAGCTACCGCGGGGAGTACTCGGTGTGCGACAGCGAGAGCCAGTGGGTGACCAACAAGACCCAGGCAGTGGACACCAAGGGGGACCCCGTGACCGTGCTGGCCAAGATCAAAACCAGCGCCACGCAGGACATCAAGCAGTACTTTTACGAGACGCGCTGTCGGACTCCCAAGCCTTTCAAGGGGGGCTGCAGGGGCATCGACGAGAAGAACTGGAACTCGCAGTGCAAGACGACGCAGACGTACGTCCGAGCGCTGACGCAGGTGCGCAACTCGGTGGGCTGGAGGTGGATACGCATCGACACCTCCTGCGTCTGCGCGTTGTCGCGGAAACGTCGTCGGACGTAACCGTAACCGTAACGCAACGACAGAGAGTACTTCCTGTTTGGAATTCTACTTCCTGCGTTTGGATTTTTTTTTTATTTCTCATCGCGGCGCAGGATTATACGCAAAGGTCTAAATTCCCGCAGAAGAAGTCACGGGTCCATTCAAATGACATTTCACCTCATCGTGCTGCAAAATTGCGCGGCGCTGCTGTTACGGAGGAACTGTGTATAGACGGGCTGGGGTGGGGGGGTGGGGATGCACGTGTCAGGCAGAACTGTACATATAAATTATTTAAATTATATGAAATGCATGTAGTTTATACATGTTTATCTATCTATATATGATGTATGAATATATTTGTGTTATTTATTGAAAGACGTCTTCTTCAAAAGCGAAAATTGTTTTAAAAAAAAAAAAGAAAAAAGGAATGAAACGAGCTATGAACTAGATACGAGACTAAAATACAGTGCTGGGGTGCAAAGGTGCTTCACAGTGAGACTTTATATGTGCCTTGACTGGTGATGCTGCTGAGCAGAGAGATGTTACCCATATATGCCATAATTGTTTTGGCAGTGAACCTAAAAGTGACCGAGCTGCAGGGACCAAATCCATCCTGCCGATAACACAAAGCCCAATTTACTATTTTATGCACTGTTAACCAAGATACAGGCCTGAGATTTCTCACCAAACATATATATTTCCACTGTGTCTTCACTGTTGGCACTACCTTTACGATTTCATGCACAGCAGACCCATTCGTTCCTCTCAGAGAAAGTTCTGAGAACTAGAAATAGATGATTTCAAGGAATCTCCTGCTATGGACTGGCCTAGATTTCATAGATTTGAGTAAAATGCAATTGTTTGGTTTTCTACTCATCAAATGAACTCCATGTTCACCAAGTTTTACTATCACCTGGTGTCATGAGCTGTTTTTGTTCTTTCCTTTTAATAAATACCTATATTTTGTAAAGCCTTTGATTAACAATACCCATCTAACAAGTCTATTCAGTGGTGATAAAGATAAGAATACTGATGTTGACCGTTCATTTCTTTAATATCTGATGCAGCCATCGACATTTCTCCTCTTTGGGTCAAAATACATTTAGAGGGGGAAATATATTTCTTCTAGGCATGTTTCTGCTGTTGTATAAGTGTTGTTACATCTTAGATTCATTACTTCTGTATGTACACCTGACAGTCAGAAACTCTTCGAGGCTGACATCTACATCTACAATAAGGTATGTCATGTTTTAGTCAGAAAACAAATTTACATCTTGTTACATACTTCAACTTGCCCAAGAGCCTTTTTTTAGACAGTTTACAGCGAGGGTCAAAGTTGTACCTTAAAATTCTGGCACACGTTTCACATTCGATATGGGTAAAACACAGCATTTCAGGACAAACACATAATAGGAAGTGTAGAGTATGGTGGTGGTGCTGTGGTGATGTGGGCTACGGAACCTGAACACCCTTTAGGCACTGAGTGTTCCAGGTTCAAATGTGAAGTTATCAGTCTGACGGCTGAAGGTGGGTTTAAATTGGATTTTGAAAATGAGCAACAATCCTAAAACAGATTAGCGAATTGTGAAGAAATTGAGATTTGTGAAGCATTGAGATTTGTGCTCATTTTTCTTGATTCCCTATGGGAATAAGTACCAATATATATCAATTTGAAAGATAGTCAGTAAGATTAGATTAATAGAAAAAGGAATAAATGAAAATCCTGACCCTAACCCTCACAAAAAAGCTCAAAAACCTCTTTGCCATCACCTTCTGAAGCTTAGGAATCAACACCACAGCTGCATATTGGCAGTTAAAATTCTCAGGTACGGGGGTTTGAGTCCTGGCCACTTTCCCCATGCATATCCTCCAACTTCTCTTGCTGCATTTTTTGGATTATTTGAAATGAAATAAAAAGCAAATAAAAAAAACACACAATCTACGACTATTGCATCATCAGATACAGAAACTCTGCGACATCCATACGTGCTGCTTCCGACTGATCCTAGACAATTAAGCTTGATTTAGCAAGTTCCAATTAATGGTATGAGTGACAATAGATGGAAGTTTTCAGTATCTTTCCCTCCAAGAGGAAGTCTCAAAGAGTATCGGAGAAAAGAGTAAATGTAATGATTTAATGAGTGTGAACATTTATATTCATTGTGTGGCCTTCACAATCGCCAGACCTCAATAAAGTAAAAAGCATCTCCTCTATCACATCTATCACTCCTCTGTAAACGGTCAACAGTAATGGCTAATCAGCGGACTCGTCAGTAGTCATTTGTCCTGCTCTCTGATCGGATTATTCACTCTTCGGTTACAACACGGAGGAAGATATGCAAACAAATATGTCAAATGAAAAATATTGTCAGGCCACGTGGCAGGAAAAATGGGGGAAAATCAATTTTTACAGTGAAAAAACACATACAGTGTCTGAGTTGTTTTCCGGATAGCTCGTATCCGTTCATTCAACTACAAAAAAGGCAGATGCTGAAATGAACAGTTAACTGTGGGACTGAATAGATGCTGGAAGTGCCAAAGGGGACAGAGGAAAATGCTCCGTATGTGAATCATGAGTGCAGGATGAATTCAAATTAAAACTCTGAGATAAATACCACTGAAACATACCACTGAAATAGCCCTATTATCTTATATTAGTCACAGAGCTGGAAAAAAACCCCAAAAGGTAATGCAGAGCCTGAATTTATGAATGCCATGCAAAAAACATATTTTCCTCATTATTTATTGGGGATCAGTTACAGATTTCTTTTTTCAAGTATGAGATACAGTAGCAATAAAAGCTTGGTAACAAATAGGGTCATTTAAAGACTTATTCTGCAGGAAAAGTGGGATTAAACAGGAAATAAGTAGAGGCAGAGTAGCAATAAAAACAAGAAAATTGAATAAAGTCCAGCTCCAGGAACACAGGAGGCATCATGATTGACATTGACATGCATCTTTAATTATCAAATTCCTCAGGGGTTACTGCAGAGCATTTAAATCTTTGTGATAAGAGTAACAGAGTGATGTGTAGTCCAAGGTAAAGCGATAAATCATGCTTACTAGAGCTTATTATCCTGTACTGTAAGATAGCAGGCTGGTTCTGGAGAATAAAAGATTTCCAAAATGTATCATAGGATTTTGTTTTGGATTGAAACTGTCCACAGGTCACGAATAAAATTCATTGGGGTTATTTTGAAATTCATTTCAGAAAGAAATACACATATGTATACAATCCCGGTCAGAAAACAACTCAACCTAAATATGATGAATAAGTGGGTGATCATTTCACTTGTACTGTATGAAAACATTTGTATGTACTCAGTTATTTTCTTGAGCGGTCTATTAATGAAACTTGTCAAATGAATGAAGTCATGAGTCCATATTTCAGTGGTGGCACGAGAAAGAAATCTTAATACAATGAAAATATAAATCAATGGGCCAAAGGAATGTACCAATTTTTTTTCTTCTATTTTCTGCTTTCTAGTGTTAAACATATTAGCAAAATCCTGGGCCCACATAACAGTGAAAGTAATATGAAAATTATAGGGTTCTAAATGTTAATCTGACCAAATTAGAATTTGAGCCTGGAACCGTCTGAAAATGGAAAATTCAAACATTTAGAATTAGGACATTTGAAATGTTAACCCTTGGGTTTTTCTGTGAGCTATTAATGAGCAATTAGACACTTTATATGTTTCTACTTTTCTAAAGCTTAGTTCCTGGTTAAAGAATGAATTATACACGGTTTATTTTTAAACTGAGATGGACATGTACTCTCACATTGATGATAAATAATAGTGCCTAACCCTCAACTACTTTGAGTCGCCTGACCCTTGGTGATATGTTGGGGCGAGTCACATGACTTTATTCTAATGCTATGCATGTGAGGGGTTCTGTTTATGCTCATTCAGTCGCACATGATCCATTTAACTGTAAAGAGTTAAAGATGCAAGTGTATCAGAACATGGATCTCGCAAACAAATTAGATGCAATTTCATCATTAAGTTAGGAGTAAGTTATAGTATTGGTGGTTTATCGAATGATAAAAGTCCACATGTTGGATGTTCTACTTAGATCTAGAGGTGATAGCAACTTACACAAACACACCCACACACACACCATTGTTGTTTATAAAGTAAAAACAAATCGAGCATTTCAAACTGATGCTGTCATTGTTTACAATGCACCAACATCTAGAAACCATTTGCAATTTATAAGGAGAGCACATAGTTAAACCCTAGTTTTTACACAAACTCTTAGCCTTAGCTATGTGAAATACAGGATATTTTAACATAAAAAAATCACTTAATATATGTTGTTTTCGCTGAATTTTTCAGCAATTTGACGAGAGGCGTCAAACATCCTTCCATTAAACATCCACAAAATCTTGACTGACTGAAAACCTCCTGTTTTAACTGGAGCTAATTATAAATTAAATAACTAAAGGGAAAGGGTAATAGTGTGGGTAAGTCCTTACAGGATACTAGAGACAGTAGATGGTGGCTCGGACCAGAAATCCCTGAATACCTTCTAATCCATGGCAGCATCTGTGATCTGCAGGATTGTTTTTTTTTTTTATCTCTATAGCTATTAATGCCTGTGCCATAACATACAGGTCAAGTCAAATCGAAGCTGTTATGTAACCTGTAATGGATTCGTCTGCGAAAGCGTTGGCCTTTGGTGACTTTAAACTGTGAGAACTAAAAAGCGCATTTTTCCTGCAGTCAGTTGTGATCCAAAGCTAAGCACTTAACTCCTTCCACAACAGATTAAAACACTGAATGGAAATGTGACCTGGATCGAATTGGTTTTCTACGACTTTCTGAGCAAAATCAAGAGTATCAATCGGGCAGTGCATGCTGGACCTCCATGAGGGTCATTTGAGAGTTTTCTCCAGATTTTCAAACAATGTCCGTCATTCTTTAAGTAACAAAACATTTGTACCATAGTGTAACTAATTTCCCTCTGGGATTATTGAAGTATTTCTGATTCTGAGGTCACTCAGAGAAAAACCACAC